TGCCACTGCTCAACATCGTGGTCTCATCGTGTATTCTTGGCGCAGATACCTCATCAACTGCAACCTCCTGTGATCGGTCAACATGGTCAAATTCAGCACGTCGATCGTGCACCTGTACGCCATACCATCGATCATGACGCGAGTGGCGACACTCACACGGATGACAGGGACTTGTCGTGTGTCACGCTGACAAAATGGATCATGGACAACAGCACGTCCACGCGCCCAACTCGACCCTGAGTCCCAACAACACGGCCGACGACTCGACGCGTGACGACGGCACGCAGAGCTACACGGGGTACGGCTACTACAACACCAAGATCACGACGAGCGGAGCCGACTGCGCCACCACAAACGGCGTCATCCAAGAGCTGTGGCCGGACAAGTCGATGCGCAACTACAAGTATGCGTCCGAAGTGTTTAAAGTGTGCGTCGTCCAGGTACGATGCCACCCCTTCGTTTGGACCATCCAAGCCGATGTCGTTCGTGGCTAGACGTAGCTACGTCGTCGACGCCAACGACCGTCGCGACTGCCCCGCCGAAAGACGACAACACGGGCGTGAAGGTTGGCGTGATTGTCGGCGTCGTGGTGGTCTTGGGCGTTGGGGTGTTTTGCTTTGTCAAGCGGCGCAAACCCCAGCCGGAATCCACGAACGGATACCCCGAGCGGTCGAGCCGCGGCGGCCGCAAGTCGGGAGGCGGCGCTGCCAACCAGGATCACTACCACCAATTTGACGGTGGCGACAATGGTTCCAACAACCGGCGGTCCGTCACTCAAAACGGAACAACGCACAACAACTCGGGCAACCGGTTCTCCAACTCGGGAGGCCAGTCGATGCCGTCCTTGACGTCGACGGATGAGAGCAACATCAACTTGGCGCCGCTCGCGCTCGTCCGCATCGAGGCAAGGGATGTCTTGCTCCAACAAAACCTCGGATCGGGTGCGTTTGCAGAGGTGTGGCGCGGCTCTTTTCTCGGGGATGATGTCGCGGTCAAGATGCTGCATCCAAGCTGCGTCAAAGTCACCCAGATTCAATCCTTTGTGAGTAAAATCCAGCTCATTAACTCGTTCGACTCGCCGTACATCGTAAAGCTTGTTGGCGCGTGCTGGACGCGGCCGTCGGATTTGCAATGTGTCATGGAGCTCATGGACGGCGGCGACTTGAAGGAATACCTGCACACGCACTCGCCGGCGCAATTTGCTTGGATCGACAAGTACAGACACATTTACCAGATCGTCGAGGGCCTCGTCTACTTGCATTCGCTCAACATTATCCACCTCGACGTCAAGTCGAACAACGTGCTGTTGGATTCGACCAAGGGCATCAAACTGACCGACTTTGGCGTGAGCAAAGAGGACATTCAAGCCACGATGACGATGGGCGTCGGCACGTTTCGATGGATGGCTCCAACGCATGTCGGCGTTTTACTCGGGGACTCGTGTCTTGAGTCCACGCGCATCCATTCGCAACGTAGAGGGGCGTGAGATCCGACGGTTCAAGATTGTTAAGATTTTCTCGTTTGTCGATCAAAATTACTTCGAAGTACTACGCAGTATGTATTTGGTTTGGGGGCTAGGCGACCTGCTCCTCTAATTTCGCAATCTGTGCATCAAATGTTAAATCGAATTTTATGACGCTGTGCCTATAGAGAAGAACAAAAGAGCCAGTTCTGCCTACAAAGTAGAATTATCTCCATACATGGCATCCGTCATCAAATCGCATACTAGTATGTACACCTGGCAGTCGACATCTACCTGACAAATATCTGACAGAAGATTGGACGACCGAGTTGAAAAATATTCTTGATTGGATAAAGAATATTTCAAAGCAACGCATTGGTCGATGGCATTGTCGGTTGGTAACATTTCACGAACATAAAGCAATAACATGACCGGATTGGCCAATTTTCCATTTGAAGTCAACAACAACGACGCCGAACACGACGGCGACGATACCGTCGGTGAAGACCATCGAGGAATCATTCATGGCGCATACGCCAGACGCGCAACCTATCACAAATGATCCCAATCCTGGGCGG